GTTTTGTTTGAACGTTGGGCTCAGGTTTCAGCTTAGAATGAGCTCCCTGCTAGTAACTAGATTTGAGAACTAGATTTGAATCTCAGGTTGACAGTAAGTAACTAGCTCCAGTGAGGGTCCTGGTTTGCCCCAATGGGGACAGGCAAGAAGGTGGAAAGGCATCTGGTCTGCTCAATATGTGCAGCTGGGAGCTCCGGGAGCTTCCCTTACCTGAGAGCAGGTGTTCTCAGAAAGCAGACACTCCGGGGTTTTGGAGTTAGAAGACAAGCCCAATGAATTCCAGATTTCACAGGTTGGATTCGGTACTTCTCCTCTTTGGAAATGAGTTGGGGTGGGGGTTGGGGGGTGAGGCCAGGGAGAGAAAGGCACCTCACTTAGTTGAGGTTAATGGCATTGCAGCCACAGTGCTGCTTGGGCTTCAAGGATTCCTTTGTTGTCTGGTGGACTGCTGATTTTTAAAAATATTTAGTGAGTACGGGGAAAATAAGGGAGACGCTTTACTCTTTGAAGTAGTGGGCCCACTTATTAGTCTTACTAGAATCCCGTTGCAGGAAGAGTCCTGCAAGAATAGGTCTTCCTGTGGCCATCTCCCCAGCCCTGCCTGCTTCCGTCCCTTCTCCGCCCCACTTGCTTCTCCAAAGCTTCGCTCCTTTCTGCAGCGCTTGGCGCTCTGTGTCTGGATATGCAACTTAACTGCCATCTTGGTTGGGCTAATTTGCATGTTCACTCCTGATTGGCTGGTGGGTGTGGCTTGTGGGCATAGCAGAGGTAAGGTCAGTTTGCATGTTTCTCTTTTATTAGATAGGATAACATGCATTATTCCATCTATAGTCTCAGTTTCTAGGCATGTTCCCTAAAGCTACTGCCTCTTTCTAGGCATGTTCCCTAAAGCTACTGCCTCTTTCTGTTTACTGTGTGTTTTATGCGAGTTTTCTGTGTGGCTGCTTGGCACTCCTAGCCCTGTAGCTTCAGGAATGAGTTTTGCCACCTTTTGACTTTTTTTAAGGGGTTATCCCTGCCCGTCCAGATCTTGCTAAACTTCCAGCAGAGGGGGTGCAAGCGTGTGTCCCCTCTGGCCACCTGGATGTGTGGATCCTGGTGTTCTGCCAGGCCATGCTGTGACACCCACATTGCCTTCCTCAGAGCCCCCTGGTAGTTGCTTAAACAGGTCATCTCACACATACCACATCTCTCTCTCTCTCTCTCTCTCTCTCTCTCTCTCTCTCTCACACACACACACACACACACACACACACACACACACTTGTGATTTGCAGTAGTGGGATGTAGAGCACTATCCTAGCTTTTATTGATATTTGGAGGTGGACATTGGTGCCCAAGTTGGTCTTCTCCCTCCTGGTGGTCCTAACATGACCTCTACCCAGTCTGTCCCACCTTATCCTGGAAGTGGTGTCCCTTCATTTGTCTTCATTTGTAGCACTTATTTTTATCCTTAATTCATCTTTGTAATTCCATGTTATATAGTCATACTAATGAGTGAGAGTGTGTGCGTGTGTGTGCGTGTGTGTGTGTGTGTGTGTAATAACTATGCATCATTTTTTATTACATATGTAAGAACTGTACTTGTAAAAGGACTCGAGGTATTTTGTGGATTGAAAGACAGGGCAAGTGAGGACAATTTGAAAAAATTCTTGCTGAAGGCAGGAAGGCAGTTGGGGTAAAGCAATCTCCAGCTCCCATACAGAATGACCCTCTGCCGAGGCACTTTGCTTTTCCCCCCCCCCCCTTAATGGTAAGAATTAACTTATATGAGGCCCACCCTCTTAAAATTGTATGTGTTCAATACAGTATCGTTAACCACAGGCACAACAATATTGTACAGCAGACCTCCGCAATTTATTCACCTTGCATAACGGGAACTTTGCTTTGACGCTTTCTAATGATATGTGGACAGGATTTCTTCGTTTTGAGCAGCTTTTCTTAGGAAAATGTGTTCAGCTGTAGCATCTGAACTGTTGATCCTTTTAGAGGCTTTGCTGCAGGTGTCGCTAATGGCCTCTCAGGTTTCCGTTCTTTTGATAACGTGACGTGTGCCTTTGGATACTGAGACATCTGAGGAACAAAGAGGCTTTTAGTTCTCCCCAGTCGGCTTCTTTATCCTCGTGTCATTCCTCCTGGTTTCTTCCTTTTACCTTTCCCCAAAATTTGTCCAAATTTTTAGACCAAGAAACCAGACTATTAGATCCATAAAGGAGCAAGAAGGTGTTTTCCTGGTTAAAATGCCAATAGGATTTTTTATTGGCGTTCTGTGGAGCCCTAGATTTCACAAAGCCCATTTACAGAAAGTTTCCCACCACCTCCAGGAAAAGGATTTGCCCGAGTTACAAAGACTTCAGACGTGAAGGAATGTGAACACTGCTTGGTTTTGCGTCTGGGTGTTTGACTTGGAAGGGTGCAGTCCTTACATACTGCTCCGTGTAAAGGAATTGCCTAGCACTTGTGGGTGGGAGGTGACAGGTTTGGGTGTAATACTCCTAGAGTCACGTAAATATTTGGTGGCATTGTTATACCTGGACTAACAGTTTTGTGAACACTGTAAACGGGAAAAGCCACACGTCTGCTTTCGTCTGTGATGGATCCTGTTGCAGTGGTTGTGATTGTGCCATGAGGCGTGTAAGAGAAGCAGTGCAGCATTGAGACACGACCAGAGAACACAGTTCCACCTTTCCATGGAGCACACCCGGGCAGTCTGTGACGCTGGCACTCACCATGGTCCGCCTGGAGCCAGGCTGTCCTGCAGCCAGGGGAAGGCCTCGATGCAGCCTCATCCAAACACAGATCAAAGGACGAGAAATGATGTTTGCAGGGCACCCTCCTCAGAGGGCGGGGCCAGGCACATTATACTGTGCACCGTGCCCATTTTCCCCATCTCCCTCCCCTTGTAATCGCCATTCCTGCTCCTTTTAGGGACCAGCCGTTCCATGTGGTTTCTTCTCTTGCTGAAGCCGGTCTTAGGCTTATCCCCGCCTCCATTCACCATGCCAGAATTAGTAGTGCTGAAGTACCCTAGGTTCTTACTAAGTCCTCATTGGCGGTCCAGCACCCCAAGGTGCCGGTCCTGCCCAGCCCCAGCAGGAGAAAATCAGAGGAGGCCCGGGCTGCCCCCCTGCTCCCCTCTGCTTCATCTCCACGTCCCGTATCAGACGTGGAGTCAGCTCCAGCCACTGTTCAGCTTCTGTCACAATGTCTGGAATAAAGTAATTCAGAGCTATTACTAACTAACTCACTGCATGACCTTGATTGGCGACTGGCCCCCTCCATTGCCACGTCTGCCACGTAGGTCTGGTTTTCCTTCCCCGTGAAATCGGGTAATGCTCCTGTTTGTGCTTAGTAATCTCCAAAATGCTGCCTCTTGAGTGGCTTTGCAACGATGTATCTATTTTGTAGCAAAAATCAAAAGCTACTTTCTAGCTGCTTAGTTATCAACAGGGAGGGTATGCTTGGCTAAAAGTGATAGTTGTTTTAAAAAAAAAAACGATTCTGGCAGGGCCCCTGCCTTCCTGCATGCCACCACTTGTTCTATGTCTAAACCATGTATTATAGATATTCCATGCCACTCATTTCCCAATTTTAAAAAATATCAGTGCCCTAACTGGTTTGGCTCAGTGGATAGAGCGTCGGCCTGCAGACTGAAGGGTCCCAGGTTTGATTCTGCTCAAGGGCATGTACCTTGGTTGTGGGCACATCCCCAGAAGGAAGTGTGTAGGAGGCAGTTGATCGATGATTCTCTCTCATCGATGTTTCTAACTCTATCACTCTCCCTTCCTCTCTGTAAAAAATCAATAAAATATATTTAAAAATATTAGTGAAGTTGACAAGGTCTTAGAAGTAAGTCAAAAACAAAATTGATAAAAGCAGTGCGTAGGTATCCCTAACCTTATTTCTTTAACTCTGATGTTGTTTGGGACCCCAGCTGCTGACTCAGCAGCCCAGAGCCTCAGCACAGTGTGCGTGTGGTTTGCTGGCCGTGTGTGATCCGAGCAGCCGCGTAGTGTGCTTGTTCAGAGCATGAATTCACAGGCGTCTGCTCAGCCATTGCCTAGCTGCACAATGCTGGGCAGCTTTGTAACCCCTCTGAGGCTCAGTTTTCCTATCCACAGAGGTGGGCTCATTAAAGAACCTCCGATTATGAATTCCAAATGAGTTCATACTTGCCTGGTACGAAGTTTGTGCCATGTAAATATTCCTTGTTATCAAGGGAAAATATGCTTTCACTGTTACATTTTTAGTCTACCCCTACTCCCGCCCCTAGTTCTGTGTAACATTAAGGTATACAGCATAATGACTTGACTTACACATATATTATGAAATGATTACCACATTAAGTTAACATCTATCATCTGATATCGATACAAAGAAAAAAAAAAAGGTGTGATGAGAACTCAGGATTAACTCTCCTTACAGCTTTTTCATAAATATATCATACAGCAGTGTTAACTATAGTGATCATATTGGACATTGCATCCTTGATACTTACTTACCTTATAACTGGAAGTTTGTACCTTTGACCACCTTTATCCAATTCCCTCCCTCTCCCTCCCCATCTCCCTGCCTTTGGTAACCACAAATCTGATCTCTCCTCTGTGAATGTTTGTGTGGGGTTTTTTTTTTTTTAGGTTTCCCATATAAGTGAGATCATACAGTATTTGTCTTTCTCTGCTGACTCATTTCACTTGGCATAATGCTCTCAAGGTCTATCCGTATTGTCACAAATGGCAGAATGTCCTCCCTTTTGTGGCTGAGTAATATTCTCTTGTACACACGTATTTATCATGTTTTCTTTATCCATTCGATCCATCAGTGGACACTTAGGTCATTTCTGTATCTTGGCTTATTGTAGGTAATATCTCTTCAGTATCTTTGGATCGGGTCCCAGAAGTGGAATTGCTGCATCTCTCTGATACCAGTTGTTAAAGTATAACATTCTCAGGGTAAGTTTCATACCTGACTGTCTCGGGCCCTTTACCTCTTTCCTGCAGGCTTTCGTGGAGGCCCAGAACAAGATCACCGTGCCGTTCCTCGAGCAGTGCCCCATCCGGGGGTTGTACAAGGAGAGGATGACCGAGCTGTATGACTATCCCAAGTATAGCTGCCACTTCAAGAAAGGAAAGCGGTACGTGTTGTTGCTTTCACTTAATTTTATTTCACTTTTCTAATGGATTGCATTCTTAAATGATAAAACAAGTTCTGAATAACTTACCAGTTTATCGAATTAATTTGTTTTAAAATGGATTCATTTCTATGCTTAAGTATGAGAATATCTTTTGGTCTTATTGTCCAGATTTTTAAAATAAGGATTAAGAAATTTAGTAGATGTCACTATAATGAAAAATAAATTTTAAACAACAACAAACATGATCACCAAAAAAGAAAAACAGAAAGAAATTTAGTATAGATATGCCCTACGACGAAATCAGGGTGTAAACTATTGTTTTCTGATGGCTGGTAATTGGTGAGATGGCATGATTCATAAACAACAATGGAGATTTGTTTGCCTCTAAAATGTAATTATCTTTGGTTTGTACTACTTGAAAAGATTTTCTTATATGCATTTCTTCTATGTAAAAATGAAAATTGCCCAGGAAGTAGAACCTAATAATGTGCTTCTCTTGTTTTCTTACACACACTCAAGCATATTCTCTAGTTGGTTTTTTAGCCTCATTGGAAGCATCATCAATAATTTAGTACCCTCTTTCCCCCAAGGATCAGCAGAGTGGGGCAGCATGCCAAGCCCTGCCCACCACCTGCTTTTATAAATGAGGCTTAAATGGCATGCAGCCATGTCCATTCACTTATATATTGTCCATGGCCGCTTCCGTACAACTCACAGTGGTGTAGTAGCAGCGAAGATGTGTGGCCACAAAGCCTGGAATATTTTCACTCTTGCTCGTTACAGAAAAGGTTTGCTGACCCCGATCCAGCAGCCTTTTATTTAGCAAATAAAAGTCTTTGTTAAGTTAAGGTGCAGAATTTGGATACTTAAAGCAATTCAGATCAACTCTAGGTACAGGGAGATGGTGGGACCTACAACCTAATCCCCATGTCCTATTTGCTGCTGCTGTGTGTGTGTGTGTGTGTGTGTGTGTGTGTGTTGTTTTATTGTTTGTTTTTTTGCTTATGTGCATTTGGTTTTACTCCACAAATAGAAAACGCCACCGCTAAATAAAGACTGTCTCTGTCCCGCAGGTATTTCTATTTTTACAACACAGGTTTGCAGAACCAGCGAGTGTTATATGTACAGGATTCCTTAGAGGGTGAAGCCAGAGTGTTCCTAGACCCCAACGTACTCTCCGACGATGGCACGGTGGCCCTTCGAGGTGAGTGCTCCCCAGCCAGGCCCCAGGAGTCCCAGGCCCCCACTCCGAGCTCCGTGCTGGAGCAGTCACCTCGCCTCTGAAATACCAGACAGAGTGTGGACCCTGTTGCAGAACAGATGCACACGCAATGTCAGGAGAGCTATTTTTGCACAGCGTATTTAAAACAAGAGCGTGATCATGTGTCCTTCCTATGGCATGAAACAGATCTGGAGAATACTTGTCACTGGCCTCCAGTTAGCGCCCAGGGCTTCTGAGATCCTGAAGTATCTTCATCATTTCCTATAATATCCCTGAGAACCATCTGTGATTAGAAACAATCCTCTTCTGTAAGAAATTTAAACTATACCAAGAATGCTTCAACAAAAATATAATGAGGAGTATTTATGAGATCCCTTTCCTTCGGTGGTTGGGGACCTGGTTACGAGTTTTAAAATTTAGGTCATTGTCAGTATGTTAGAATTAAAAGTAAAAATTAGACAGCTTGGTACCTCTAAAGATGCAAGTTTAAAAATTGAGCCGAAACCGGTTTGGCTCAGTGGATAGAGCGTTGGCCTGCTGACTGAAAGGTCCCAGGTTTGATTCCAGTCAAGGGCATGTATCTTGGTTGTGGGCACATCCCCGGCAGGGGGTGTGCAAGAGGCAGCTGATTGATGATTCTCTCTCATCGATGTTTCTAATTCCCTATCCCTCTCTCTTCCTCTCTGTAAAACATCAATAAAATATATTTTTTTTAAATTGAGTAAGGTTAGCCTACTGTTGCTGTATGTCTCCTAAATAACCTGTCCCGAAGATACCCTCCTCCACAGGCCGTAAAGATTACCCCAGGTTTGTGCCATAAACACTAGTCCTAGGGTCAGGAAGTGTATGGTTCTGTGGCTTAATAACTATCCTCTGAGAACCACATCTTGGTAGCATCACAGGTGTTTTGTGCAGTTGGCTCATCTTCTGTAACAATTTCTGTTTTATTAAGAAAGCACGGTTGTAGGTTCAGTCCTACAGAATTGAGCAGTTGGAACACTGACGTCCTATAATCAGTTAGGTGGGAATTAAACAGATCTGTGCAGGGACCCTTTTATAAAGGCATTCAGTCATTCAGTGGTTCCCTCTCCTCCTCTCCAAAGATGATTCTTCACTAACTGGTATTGAAAGTAATAAGATGCCAGCCAGCTTCATAAGAGTGTTCTTCCACGAATTGGAACTTGGAGTTGAATGAACTTATTAATATACTGGTTCTGTGAAATATTGTAGGATTAATTTAGTTTTAACAAAGGTCTATCTTGCAACTCATCCAGAAAGACTTCATTATAACAGTCTCACCTCTCGCTTTGATAGTTCATTCCTGTAACTTTTTTATGGAATTATTGCCATCTTCATGTCCTGATGGGTGGAAAGGAAAATTCAACACGGGGCCTGGCTTCAGTCTTTGACAGTGGTATTTAGGGAATTTATAGTATGGGTGGTACACATTCAGATTCTTTTGATAGTTATATACATTTTTAAAAATATATTTTTTTATTGATTTCAGAGAGGAAGGGAAAGGCACAGGGATGAGAGAGAGAGAGAGAGAGAGAGAGAGAGAGAGAGAGAGAGAGAGAGAGAAATATCAATGATGAGAAGGAATCATTGATTGCTGTCTCCTGCATCCCCCCCACTGGGGATCAAGCCTGCAACCCAGGCATGTGCCTTTGACCAGAATCGAACCCAGAACCCTTCAGTCTGCAAGTCACTGCTCTATCCACTGAGCAAAACCAGCTATGGCTAGTATATACATTTTTTTTAAAAATATATTTATATTGATTTCAGAGAAGAAAGGAGAGGTAGAGAGAGATAGAAACATCAATGATGTGAGAGAATCATTAGTTGGCTGCCTCCTGCACACCTCCTACCAGGGATTGAGCCCGAAACCTGGGCATGTGCCCTTGATTGGAATCGAACCTGGGACCCTTCAGTCTGCAGGCTCATGCTCTATCCATGAGCCAAACCAGCTAGGGTGTAGTATATACATTTTTAAAATACATATTTGAACCCTGGCTGGTTTGGCTCCGTGGGTAAAGTATCAGCCTACTGACTGAAGGTTTATGGGTTCAATTTTGATCAAGGTCATGCATCTCAGTTGCAGGCCCATGTGGGAGGCAATCAATTGATGTGCCTCTCTAACATTGATGTTTCTCTATCTCCCCTCCCCCCTTCCTCCACTCTCTAGAAATCAATGGAAAAACTACCTTGGGTGAGGATTAACAAAAATAAATAAAATACAATTTGAAATAAATTTTATTTGGAATTTTTCTGAAAAATATTTTAATTACATATAGCTAATTCAAACATTACAATGTTATATAGCGTGGAAAGTGAATATTTTCTCCCCATCATCTTCTAGATTCTTCTCTGCAATTATATACACATGACCCTGGATATTGTATAGGAATTGTAAGTGATTAATAAGTAGGCTTTTTCAAGTTTTAGACATATTTCCCATTAATAGAGGTCTCATGTAAAACTAGTAGGAAACCTCTGAAAATAGTTGGGTTTCTTTAGAATAATTTCCACTCTCCCTCCCCCCTACCCCACTGGTAAAGCTCCACAAACATCCTAAGAGGAAATTGGAAATTTCTGGTGTTGGTGTCTGGTACCAGATGCTGTACCATAACGATAATTCATAACGATGAAAGCTGCCATACATGTGCAACTATATGTCAGGAAACATTCCATGGTGATTCCAATGATCTATCCGTCATGTCCCTAAAGAATCGGGCACAGTGGAGTAGTCCATGGATGGTGTTGCTTTTCTTCCTTTTCCCCGGTCACTTTTGGAATGTGGGCCGTGTGAGATCTTCCTTGCAGGCCTTCTTTGCCTGGGCTGGCGGTGTTCGGATGGTATGGACGATAATCCTCCAGTACCAGTAGTGCTCAGTTGTAAAGAAGGATCTCAGATGGTTTGGGATCCATTCTAAAAATTACCCAATGACTCCAGTTTAGTTCTGTGTCACGGTGTGTATCCTAATTCAGTCATTACTCCAAAGACAGTTTCCTTACTCCTTCCTTGTTCCCTTTAGGGTGTAAATAAAAGGTGCTGAAAGTCCCCGATGAGCTCTGCTTTCAACTGAGAGAAATTGAAAAATGGAAGCGTCTTCGTGGACATAGAATCCAACACTTCATTTTATAGATGAGGAAAGGGAGACTTGCTTACGGTCATCAGGCAAATGCCTGTAAGACATGGGCATGGCCCTCAGAGTTCCTCACTGCCACATTCTGCCTCCGTGTGCAGGCAGCGTTGTGGGGCAGGGCAGGGCAGGGAGCAGGCCCAGGCATCGTGTCCCCATCACTGTTTGATTTCTCCTGTGTTCCATAGGCTATGCGTTCAGTGAAGATGGTGAATATTTTGCTTATGGTCTGAGTGCCAGTGGCTCCGATTGGGTGACAATCAAGTTCATGAAAGTCGATGGTGCCAAAGAGCTTCCAGATGTGCTTGAAAGAGTCAAGTTCAGCTGTATGGCCTGGACCCATGATGGGAAGGGAATGTTCTACAACTCTTACCCCCAGCAAGATGGAAAAAGTGACGGTATGTTAAGACTTCAGGTGAAGGCACCATTTTTTTTTTTTTTTTTTTTTTTTTTATGAAATAGAAGTGTGACTCCCATAACTTTAAAAGAAAAGCTAGTCTCTAACAGTTTGATCTAGAGCAAGCATGTCAGACTCTCGGCCCACAGAGAATATTTTGGTATGTATCTGTATGTAAGAAACATGTTAATAAAGATTCTGTAACTTAATTTATACATCATCTATATATATAAAAGGCTAAGTGACCGACGGTATGTCCAACCAACCGGCCAGTACATATGATGCGCACTGACAATTTAAAAATAAACATTGCCTCTCGAATGTTACATGTGAAGCTCTTGCTGGCACTAATCCCACACGTGTGTTTCAATCTGTCATTGTCGATTGTGAATTTGGTTGTTTTAGTTGACGTTCAATGAATATAAGAGCCTAAGTGATCGAAGGACTAGTCAACCAGTCGCTGTGATATGCACTAACCACCAGGGGGCAGATGCTCAACACAGGATCTGCCCCCTGTTAGTCAGTGTGCTCCCACAGCCAACCTCTCATGGCTCCTTCCCCCAGCTGACCGGCCAATGTCCCACAGCCTCTACCCCAGCCGGGTGGCCTGATGGCCCTGATCAGGGCAGCCAACCTCCCACAGCCCCTCCCCCTGGCTGGTCAGCCCCAACTGCTGGCCTGGCTGAGGGACCCCACCAATGCCCAACTTCATGCACTGAGCCTGTAGTTATTGATAACGAACTACAACATTCACTAATGACTGATTACTGTAATCGTGTTGCATTCATTTTCCTTACGCGCGTTATGCACAGGTGCACCATTTCTCTCTATGATAGCAACAAGTATTTTAGCAGCCAATTGCCACATCGTTAGTCTTGGACTGACTTGTTTGGTGTGCATAACAGGAAATATTTTGCTTTCGGAGAACAAGAAAAAAATAGGTTCATTTGTGTTACACTTATTAATTTGTGCAGTTATTTAGTGCCTGGTAAGTTAATGTTCAAGAAAAAAATATTTAGTTTTTATTAAAATGTCTATTATTTTATGTTAACGATTACTCATTTATTTCAGCCCTTTGTATTTAGCATGCCTATCGAAATAAACCTACGTTTCTATGAAAATTGAAGCTTTTGTTTAGTTGTGGCCCACATAGACTTAAACCTTGTTTGTTTGGCCCGTGTGAGCCTTTGAGTTTGACATGCTTGGTCTAGAGCCAGGGTTCCTTGAAAAATGTTATATACCAGGTAACTTTGTTGTGGAACAGGTCACCCCAAACCTCAGTGGTTTAGAATAACGACCATTTATTTTGCTTGAGTCTGTGGGTTGTCCAGGCAGTTCTGGGCTTAGCTGAGTTCCATCACGTATCTGTCTGTGGTCAGCTGCAGGTCAGTTGGCTTGGCTTTTACATGTCTGGGGTCTCGGCTCTGCTCCATGTGGTCTCTCATCCTCCAGCAGGCTAGTTCCCATGGAAGCTCAGCAGGATTCCAAGAGGGAGAGCTGAAGGCACAACTTCTCAGATGCCTGGGCTTGCTGCTGTCACTTTTCTGCATTCTGTTTACCATCCCCTATTCAAGCAGTCCTGGGAACTGTGAAAAAGTGAGGCCATTCCTGCAATCAGCCTTTCACAGATGTGTTCTACGTCTCCAGGGGGATCGTGGAGAAGATGGATTTTTTTTCATAAAACCAACTTAATGATGTTGAGTGATTATAAAATTTTTCTGCTGCAATCATCATTGATCTCTTCCCCTGATCAGTTACAGTCCCCTGCAGGTGGCATTTATCTTGACACTTTTCTTCTTGTTAACTTCCTATGCACATCTGTTCTCTTCATTTTCACAAAGATCCTATAGTGTCCGGGGGTCCCTCTTTCTTTCCCCCCTCCTCATCTTCCCAGGCAGGAGGGTCCTGCACCTTATCAGCGTCTTTATGCCACTCCATATTCCACTTGGGGGATAGCATTCTCATGTTTCTGGGCTGGTCTTGACAGGTGGCTTTTACACTCCCTTTGTTAGAGCTGTGGAGCTGGGATGCAGAGTCTCGGGTACCTTTTTTAGATCCTGGGCCTGGCCAGTGCTTTCTACCGCATATGTTGCCCCTTTACCATGATCTATATCTATGTTATCTTTAGTTATGCTCTCCTTTCTGTCTCCCCTCGCTCCCTCCCAGTTGAATTGGGAATAAGGCTGTAACACTTTCCATTTTTTGGCTGTGTTTACCGTCTGCTGCCTTTGATTATGCTTCTCAGTACCTTTCTCTGAATTCACCAGGGATCTGCAAGAGGAGCTAAGAGGTTTTAAAATCAAAGATGTTGGCTAAAGAAAGACCTCTGTGTCTGTACTGAGAGTGCCAGTGGGTTAGAAATTGTTGGCTATTTCCAAGTTCTTGGAGATCAAAAAAGCATATAACTGGCCATTTATTGTTAGAGAACAATGTTTATTAAGTTAATTTGGGAAAAACATGAAAATTTCCAGTTACCGTCCGCTTTCAGTGGCAACTATAGCAATTGCGATTGATCTAAGAAAGCCGGTACCTCCCGGCTGTCAGTTGCTGCCCTCTAGTCTAGAGAACCTCAGCAGCCACTTAGGGTGAGTGCTGGAGGCCCTCGCAGTAAAAGCTGAGCCGTTCTGACTGCGCACTTCTTACCAGTGTTCCCAGAAAACCTTTGGAAAATCACCAAGTGCTCTAAGGTGGTTTTTTCATTAAATTTACTGGGGTGACATTGGGTAAAAGGATCCATAGAGATTTCAAGTGTACATTTCTGTGATACAAGATCTGGATATTGCACTGTGTGTCATGGTATTTTTCTTCATTGTTCTGAAAGCTTGGTACATTTTCAGAATAAAATAAAAATAGTTCAGTCTTACAACCGCCTCAAAAATCAGCAGATATGTGTGAATTACTTCCAGATGATACTCAACTGATTCTTAACTTTTTTTTTTAATAGTTCACTTTTAGAGCCATTTTAGGTTCACAGCAAAATTGAACACAAGATACAGAGATTTCCCATATATCCTCTTGTGTGCCCGCCTCCCCTCCTCCCCCGCCCTCCCACATGCATAGCCTCCCCTATTATCAGCACATCCAGCACAGGGGTACAGTGCCCTACATGGGCACATCATGATCACCCCAAATCAGTCACTTACATTAGACTTCAGTTTATATTGTACATTCCATGGGTTCACATAAATGTGTAACGATATGTATCCGCCATTGTGGCATTATACCAGGGTGGTTCCACTGCCCTGATAATCCTCTGTTCCACCACTTTATCCTCCCTCCCTCCCTCTCTCCCTCCCTTACTCCTAACCCCTGGCAACCATTGATCATACTGTCTCCTTAGCTTCGCCTTTTCCAGAATGCCTTTAGTTGATAGCGAGTATCTGCCCTTTTCAGATTGGCTTCTTTCACTTAGTCATGTGCATTTAAGATTGCTCCATATCTTTCCACAGCTTGATAGTTTATTTCTTTTTAGTGCGGTGAATGGGAGTTCCTGTTGATCCACATCCTCATCAGCATTTGGTGTCATCCATGTTCTTGGTTGTGGCCATTCTGATGACTTCATTTGCATTTTCTTGATGACCTATGATTTGGAACATCTTTGCATATGCTTACTTGCCATCTCTACTGTCAAGGTCTTCGGCCCATTTTTTAATCAGGGGGTTTGTTTCCTCATTGTTGAGTTTTAGTAATTCTTTGGGTATATTTGGGATAATAGTCCTTTATCAGATATGTTTTTTGCAAATATTTTTCTCCCAATTTGTGGCTTGTCTTTTCATTTCCTTGACGGTATCTCTCACCGAGCAGATGACTTTAATTTGAAGGAAGTTCAGCTTCTCAGTTTTTTCTTTCATGAATTGTGTCTTTGGTGCTGTATCCAAAAAGTCACCACCAAACCCAAGGTCACTTAGGTTTTCTCTTGTGTTGTCTTCTAGGACATTTATAGTTTTGCATGTATAGTTAGGGCTGTGACCCATTTTGAGTACATGCTTGTGAAGTGTGTCTGGTCTGTGTCTAGATTGTTTTACATGTGGATAGCCACTGTTTTTTTAAAAAAAAAAAAAATGATCTCTTCTCTGTTGTATAACCGTTGCTCCTTTAGCAAAGATCAGTTGGCTGTATTATATGGGTCTGTTTCTGGGCTATCGACTCCATTCCATTGATCCGTTTGTCTGTTTTTGCTAGTGTCACCAATGTCTTGATTACTTACAGTAAGTCAGTCCTCCAGTATCTTGTTGGCTTTGTTTTGTTTTTGCTTTTCCACATAAACTTTAGAATCAGTTTGTCAATATCCACAAAATTACTTTGAATAACTTGCTGGGATTTTGGGATTGGATTGAATCGAAAGGTCAAGTTGAGAAGAATTGACATCTTGACAATTTTGAGTCTTCCTGACCATGAACATGAAGCATCTCCCCCATTTATTTTAGCTCTTCTTTGATTTCTTTCATCAAAGTTTTTATAGTTTTCCTCCTATAGATCTCATACATATTTTGTTACTTATAGCTAGGTATTCCATTTGGGGGTACTATGTAAGTGGTATTGCGTTTTTAGTTTGAAATTCCATTTGTTCATTGCTGGTATGTAGAAAAACTATGAACTTTTAGGTAATAACTTATATCCTACAGCCAGATATGTGATTTTGACTCTAGCCTAGAACAGTGTGGGTGGAATAGATTCTCCTAAAATTGCACAGTGCGTTTCAGCCTGCATTGTTAACTCTTCCAGGCACAGAGACATCCACCAACCTCCACCAGAAGCTCTGCTACCATGTCTTGGGGACTGATCAGTCAGAAGATATTTTGTGTGCTGAGTTTCCTGATGAGCCTAAATGGATGGGGGGAGCTGAGGTATTGTACTATTGTGAAATTTTCCCAAAAAGACCCGTGGATGGTATATGTCAACATCCTTGTTTCGTGATGACCTTTATGAATGGTAGAAGTCCTTTGAGGGGATAGTCTTTTTGTTAAAAATATTGGCATTCAAAATTATTCCTAATAATGGAGTTGATGATATACCTTTTATCAGCAGTCACAACATAAAAGTCTTAATACTAAAAGCTATACATGCTTATGGTAAAAACATGTAAAAATACAGAATAACGTGAAGTGGAACATGAACGTTGTGAAAATCGGAATCCTACTCAGAGGTGAGGAGAGTATCCTTCTAAACATTTTCCTTTCATATGCAGGTGAGACTGTAGCGAGTGTGTGTTTTCCTGTTTTACACAGCTCTTTGTGTAGATTGTTTACTTGTTATTATACCAAGAAAATGTATCCTTTAGATATCTTCCTGTTTTATTTTTTTAAATGTTTTTATTGATTTCAGAGAGAGAGGGATAGAAACATCAGTGATGAGAGAGAATCATTGATCAGCTGCCTCCTGCACACCCCTTACTGGGGATTGAACCTGAAACCCGGGCATGTGCCCTCACAAGGAATCAAACAGGGTGCATGGTGCATGGTGTCAGCTCTCAACCTCTAAGCCACGCCAGCTGGGCGATACCTTCCCATCTTATAGATAGTTCATACATTCCTCAGGGATCTTGACAATAATCAACCTCTATTGAAGTGATATGTATTTGAAGATACTGGCCTAGATTTTGTTCTGTGTCTTGCTAATCAATTGAAAAAGCTTAGAGTTGCTTAGAATAAGAATTTACTGCTGTGTGTTCACTTCTGGATACTAAGAAATAATTTTTTAAAGAAAGCAAAACAGCCCTGGCCAGGTTGCTCAGTTGGTTGGGGCATTGTACCATATACCAAAAAGTTTTGGGTTCGATTTCTAGTCAGGGCACATACCCAGGTTGCGGGTTCAATGCCCTTGTAGGGCACACATGGGAGGCAATTGATTGATGTTTTTCTTTCACATTGACGTTTCTCTGTCTCTCTTTCTCTCAAATCAATACACATATCATTAGGGAAGGAGGGAGGGAGGGAGGGAGGGAGGGAGGGAGGGAGGGAGGGAGGGAGGGAGGGAGGGAGGGAGGGAGGGAAGGAAGATGTTCTGAGTGTTTTAATATAAGTAGATTATCATTCCAGTTTTAAGTGGGAATGAGGAATCCAAATGAAATATTTTAGCTCATTGATCCATTTAGCTCTTCTCTGAGAGACAATAAAAAATTTGGTATGAAAAGGACATTTTAAATTTGAACTTCTGCTCGTGGGTCTGGTTCATTGGGGCGAAGAGTAGGAACCCATGGATTTTAGTTCATGTGCGTTGATGTACCTTATTCCAAAGTGTCCCTTTATTTCTTTATCTTGTTTCTCTAGACGAGGGCTTGTCATACTGTTGTCCTTAGGCCAGATCTGGCCTGCTGCTAGTTTTTGTAAATAAACTTTTATTGGAGCAGAACACCCCTTTTTTTATGGAGTGTCCATGGCTATAGGCAAGCTCTAACACCAGAGTTCACTAGTGGCTACAGGAGGCCACAAGGCCCACAAAGGTTTACAGGAAAACTTTGCCAGACTGTAACTCACTGTGTTAAAAATAAATCGAAAGGACTTAGATTTTATTACCTGAAACTGTGCCCCTTTTTCATGCTTTTTTTTTTTTAATCTTTTTATTTATTTATTTTTTTATTTTATTGATTTTGTACAGAGAGGAAGGGAGAGAGAGAGTTAGAAACATCGATGAGAGAGAGTCATCCATCAGCTGCCTTTTGCACACCCCCTACTGGGGATATGCCCGCAACCAAGGTACATGCCCTTGACCGGAATCGAACCTGGGACCCTTTAGTCCCCAAGCCGATGTTCTATCCATTGAGCCAAACCGATCTCGGCCATGCTTTTTCTTTTCTACCTAATTCCCCACCCTACAAGCTTTGCTTATATAGTTACTATTGCCATATTTCTCACATATTTGTTTTTAATGGCTCTTCTGACCCTATTCGTATGTTTCTACTAAATTTTTTTCTTATGTCAGCTTTTCCTCATACCTAAGGCTTCTGCTTACTGTGGATATATGTTTATTTAAAAAATAGTATAGATTTTAACTTCCGTCTGAATTTAGGGAGACAAAATATGCTACCAAAACAACCTAAAAGCATTAGGTCACGTCTTTCTCTTTACTTTTATTTGAGGGGGAAACCTAAAATAGCATATTTTATTAATCAAATTTTATTCCTTGTGGACTTACCATAAATTCAAAAACATGCTGTGGTGGAGAAATTTTTTTCTTCCAGGCTAATAATTTCATTGAACCAGGCCTGTTTTAATCAAAGTAAAACTATTTGTTTGATACAATAACAGGAACACTAAAAATAAATGCCAGAATATCAGTATATTTTAGCAAATTGGTATAAAAGGAACCAGTTTAACTGGAATACATGCAACTCTGGTTGCTCAGATCTCTCTGTTAGCACTTGGTTGAGGCATCTAGTTTTTGTTCAATCCTTTTTGAAATCATGATAAATATACGTAAAATAAAGTTTACTAGTTTATTCACTTTATGTATAGTGTGGCAGTAAATATGTTAACACTGCTGTGCAACCATCAGCACTATTCACCTCCAGGACTTCTTTAATCTTGCAAAATTGAAAATGTTCCCATGAAGCAATAAATCCCCACCCTCCTCCTCTCCGATCCCTGGTCACCACCGGCTCCTTTCTGTCTCCATGTATTTGACTACTCCAGGGGCCTCATATAAATGTCGTCATAGAGTCTTTGTCCTTTTGTGTCTGGCTATGTCACTTAGCATAATATTAAGGCTTGCCCATGTCATAGCATATGCCAGAATTCCCTCCTTTGTAAAGTTGGAGAATATTTCATCCGTGTATATACCACATTTTTATGCATTCATTCATCGATGGACTTGTGAATTGTTCCAGTAGCATCGTTAGGAATAATGCAGTTATGAGCAGCAGTTTTTAAAAATCACAGGGGCAAAACATCATATAAACATTTAACATCTGCATATTCTATTCTCCTAGCTAGGCAACTGAAAAGAAAAGCGCATGTAAGTAGTTCAGTGATCCTCCTACCACTCATTCAGTAGATGTTCACTCTACATAACTTGACTAATGAAATTATTGCCACACTCTTGAGCCGGGACCGGTTTAGCTTAATGGATAGAGCGTCGGCTTGGGGACTGAAGGGTCCCGGGTTCGATTCCAGTCAAGGGCATGTACCTTGGTTGTGGGCATATCCTCAGTAGGGGGTGTGCAAGAGGCAGCTGATCGATGACTCTCTCTCATCGATGTTTCTAACTCTCTATCTCTCTCCCTTCCTCTCTGTATAAAGTCAATAAAATATATTTAAAAAAAAGAAAAAAAGAAATTATTGCCACACTCTTGAGAAGCAGTGATCAGTCCTATTGTATGGACAAAATAGGATACCTGCCCGGGTGGTTACCATGCACGTCCATGGCTGGATCTGCCTGCTGGGTATGTCAGGTCTCTGTATCTTCTTAACACCCATGTGCTCTGTGACTCTGCTCAGAGGAAGAGGTCACACAAAACAACAGCAGTGACTGTTTAAAGATCAGCAGTAAGTGAAGAGATGGGTCTTCCCCGAACAGAAGCAATAAATGAAGTTGATTTTTTTTAAAAAATGGTACAGCACCGAAACCAGTTTGGCTCAGTGGACAGAGCGTCGGCCTGTAGACTGAAGGGTCCCAAGTTCAATTCTAGTCAAGGGCATGTGCGTTGGTTGCAGGCACATCCTCAATAGGGGGTGTGCAGGAGGCAGCTGATCGATGTTTCTTTCATTGATGTCTCTAACTCTCTATCCCTCTCTCTTCCTCTCTGTGAAAAATCAGTAAAATATATATATATATATATTTTTAAAATGCTACAGTAACAAAGTGGGACCTGAGGGACTTCATATTGGATCAGGACCCTAATCGGTGAATAGTGAGAACAAAGTCTATAAGGCTTAGGCAGGTCAGGCTGACGAAGGCGAGTTCCCATCCTTTCTCTCCCTGCTGTGTGTGATCGTGCTGAGCTGCATAAGGGGACCCCTCTGTCATTTCTTGCTGCATAAGGGGACCCCTCTGTCATTTCAACACGAACACTATAGCTCTGTAGGTATGAGCCCTCAGAAGCCTGAGGCCCATCCTAAATTGATGATTCAATTCCAGGTCAGAAAAATCTAAATCAAGGGGAAAAGAATATTGACGTGGGAGTTTCTTATACCTGACAAAGAAGTGTGATAAAGCCGGGGGATGCAAGAGGCCGGTGTGCTTGACTGTCTAGACCAGCGTCTCCCACGATCGGTGTACCAATGAGCAGTCAGGACATGGGCTGGAAACGAAGCAGACAGTTTCCTCACAGCCTCTATTTAGTGACCCACATCCTGGAGAAAAGCAGTCGTCCTTTATATAACCATGCTCCAAATACACGTGTTGCAGTGGTTCTATTTTTCAAGCAGTTGCTTTTAGGATCATCATTTTGAACCTGGTGTTTCATGAACGCATTTAGCAGTATCTCAGGATGGAGAACCCGTATTACAGGGATGGTGTGCACTGCAGCAGAAACCAGGAGAATTTTATTCTGGTTTTACCTGGTGGCCTTGGGCAAGTCACCTCATCCCTGCAAGCCTTGTTTCCTGCGGGGCTTTTCAGCGCTGAAAGTCTGTGATGGGAGGAACATATCACAGCCTCTCACAGACCCTGAAGCAGGCTTCCTGGGTGAGAACATAGCTGCTGGGTTTGAGGTCAGGAGGGTGCGGTCTGAGGCACCCATGGGCGGGAGCGGGGTGTGTGAGTGGATAGGATTCTCTGGCTCGCTGCCGCCCTCCTCCCTTCGGCTGTTGTAATCAGGTTCACCGGGGACTTCCCTTTGTGTCCTAGTTGGTGTCTCATGACTCAGCTCCTCTTTCGCAGATGTTTCTGCTTTCCTGCATTGGACAGG